GAGGATCCCACCAAAAATGTTGCTAAAAGTTATGTACTAAATAATATTTAATAAGAAATCTGGTCACCTTTATTTTATGTTCGAGAGTTTTCCATTCCTGTTCTGTATGATGTTTATCAGTTAGAGATGAAATAAGACCGGAACCAGTGGACAAGGAATCATCTCGTAGACCTACTGTCAGCTGATTCTCTAGCTCTATTCGTTCTTTCTGTACCTTCTCTAGTTCACTTGTTAATTTCTAAAAATATAATGACAATACAGAATTTGATTACTTTCTCCAAATTTCAAACTTTCTTAGAAAATTTCTGGTGCGATTTGATTAAAATGATTATGAAAGATCTTTCATTCCTGATGATATAGTGAGAGCTACATTGTTTAATACAATTATGATATCACCATGGGAACGTCCTGTTATCAAATATCAATGTATATGAGAGTTGACGGAACCCATTTTTGGATTTCTAGTTTTTTAGAATTTTCACCATGACGAAATCCAAATCTCTATAACATCGAATTCAATCTGTATAAACGTGAACCATTAAGGAGTTCATCAAGACATTACCAGATAGCCTACTATGTATGTGTACCCCACAGAGGAACGGAGTAGGGCCTGACAAGACTTGACAACATAACATCAATCCATGGCCAATTTCTATCTAAGTCCTTGGATCAAAATGTCAAAACATCCCGGAATACACTTACCTGAACATTAGTTTTGGTCATTTTAAGTCTTTGATTTGATTGGTTGAGCTCTGACTGTAACTGTAAAATTTGATCTTTCTGTTCGTTCACTGTTTTTAATGCATTCGCTCTAGATTCTCTCAAAGTATTCACCTGGAAAAAAGGAAAACAAGATTGTAAACATCTTGAAATTAACAGATACACAAATATATACACTGTATCATTTTAAAAGTCAAAAGGATGATTTTTTATGTTGTGTTTTAATATTTATTAAAATCTGGCTAGTTTTCAAGAATAAGTTCCCTAGAATGACTAGACAGAAATAAAATGAAATGAATGGAGTTTTATGTCCCACTTAGACCAGACAG